GGGGGCACGCGCCTGGGGTGTTGGGGCGCAGGGAGCCCTGCCAACTTGCTTTATCCCCTGGCCGAGTTTGGCAGCAGCCGTGGGCTCTGGCTGTACCCCACACTTGCACCCTCTCTCTTCCTCTCACCAGTTCCCATTGACGCCACACAGGGGCTGAAGATGCTCTACGTGTTCGTGGACATAAAGATCGACGCGTCACATTTCCTTGAGACCATTCGCTTCAACTTCGCAGCGGGCACCTCCCTGGCCCTCGTCAGCACCATCCAGTTCGTCTCCACAGTGCAGGTGAGATGGGGACCCCTGGCAGTGTGGGGCATGGGACGGGGCTTGTGCCTCCCCCAGCCTTAGCCCCAGCTCAGTCTCTCCCTGACCCAGCTCCGGGACTGGAGCGGCTGCCCCAGGGTGCTGGTGATGACAGTTCCCCTCTGATGAGTCGCTGCAATAATATGCTGCTGCCGTAATGTTGATCAAGTACTTTATAATAACTCTGATCAATGTTTCATGGCAGCACCCCTCCCCGGCTCCCCCGGGAGCTGCTCTGTAAATGTCAGGGCAGGCGGTGGAGCACTTGGCATTTTGATGCAGTGCTGGCAGCGGCAGGGGAAGCCCCGGCGGGCTGTCTGTCTGCCCCTGAACGGCCGGCTGGGCAGAACGGGAGGAGATGAATGAGCCTCTTGAGCCATGTCTATCTAAACACGGGGCTATCGAAGCGTTAAGCGTTTTCCCTTGTCTTTTAATTGATACGTTGGCTGAGCCTCACTGAGCATCTCAACTGTGTGAGGCCGTTACCCTCTGTGATGGTGCCGACCCGAGCAGACTGGCTCCCCTCCACTGCCACCAAGCTGGGGCACAACAGCACAGCCATTGCCACTGGTGCCCCATGGAGCTGGGACTACCAGGGCTGGGGTGTCCCCAAGGGTCCCCAGCAGTGCCGAGGACCACCAGCCTTGGCCACGCTCTGGGCCACGCTCTGTCCCTGCTGGCCAGCTGACCCTGCATCTCCCACAGGCAGCGTCACAGGAGCTGCGCTCCCAGTACAAAGTGTGTGTGCCCCAGTGCAAGCCGCTGTCCCCAGGGGAGATCCTGGGCTGCACATCGCCCCAGCTCGCCCAGGACACGGATGCCATCGTGTAAGTACCCAGGGTCCTCCAGGACCCTCCTGCCTGGCCCAGGCTGCCTGCCCTGCCTGTATCCCCTGCCCAGCCATGGGACGGTGCTGAGGGGTGGCAGGGGAATGCCTGCAGGCTGGGATAGGGCCCCTCCAGCTCCCTGCGCTGCTCGGAGTGTCGTGTACTCGTAGCACAGAGGAAATAATTGAGTCGTATATCAGAATAGATAATAGATGGAAGGGCGGGTGGATAATTGGAAAAGACAAATGGCCGGGGCCCAACATCACAGCAACATTAATTTTATTTAAGGACAGCAAATTAGAGGGAGCACTTCGCTTCCTATCACCTAATTATTTTAGGTAATGGAAATGCTTAATGTACTGTGAATACAGTGCACCACAGAATAAATAAATACAAGGACCCCACCCTTGGGGGGAGCCAGGGAGTCCAGGTGTGGGTTTGGGCCCCGCCGAGCCCCTTCTCACCTGCCCTGCCGGGAGCTGACAGCATCAGTGCCTCTCCAAGCACGGCTGGGCCGGGAGCCGGGCTCACAGTTGCCGAGGCAGGGGTCAGTGGGAGCTCCAGCCTCGCCCTGCACTGTACCGGGGCCAGGGGAGAGGCACTGCTTTCTATCTCTCCCCAAGGGTATTGGGAGCAGGCAGGGGCAGCCAGGCTGGCACTGCATGGGCGAGAGTGGGTCCTTCCCGCTGCTGGAGGAGCCACGGGGGGGGACAGCCGCCCGCACAGGTGCATGCAGCCAGCGTACCTGCATCTTCCCCACGTTATTATTTTCTTCTTTTGCCCGTCTCTGGGGCTAACTTTTGCAGACAAATTAGCTTTGATCTCCCAAAATGTCATTCTCCAATTAAGGGCAAAATCTAGTCAAGTTTTACGTCTGAATTCATTTTCCAAGCCCTCACTCCATTAGGGCAGCTGAATGAAAAGCTTTGAAATGTAATTGCTGACTTGAAATCCGATTAGAAATGGAAGCAGCAACGTCTAGAACCAGCCGTTGAGATGGAGCAGCTCCCGGCTGCCCCACACCAGCGTGGGCATCCCTCCTCACCCCGAGCATGGCCGCCTCTCCTGCCACAGTGTGCTGGGGGGCTGCACGGGGACAGGGAGCCCTGGCTGTGCCTGCTGCCCCCGGGTCCCAGCACAGGAACTCAGGCTCCCGGCATCTCAGCGCACCGCAGTTTGGGAAACCGTCAGGCACATGGATGGGTGCCACCGTTTCCACGTGCCAAAGCTCTCCCTCCCTTCTCGGCAGGTATTTGGGTGATGGGCGCTTCCACCTGGAGTCCATCATGATCGCCAACCCAGGGATACCTGCCTACAGGTACGGGCAACCTGGGGATGCCTGCCTGCAAGTATGGGCAGCCTGCGGGCACCCACACTGGTCCCCAGTCCCCAGCAACCCTGTGGTGGGGAGCACCCCAGCTCCCACAGCATGCTGGGGACAAGCTGTTCCCACCCTGAAGAAGCACACCCCAGCCCGGGTCTGGGCAGGCAGCTGCCTGCAGCGGGCACAGGCAAGCAAGGGACCGCGGGGTGGGTGAAGAGGTGCGGTGGGGAGATGAACGCCAGCTATTTACTCCAGCTGAATATAAACATTTTGACAAGTACCTGTGAAAGCTCATGGAGGTGCAGCCATTAAAGCCCAGCTGCTGCAGGCAGAGGCCATAAAGCGCGATGATGAGGCTGCTGAAAGCAGATGAAATAGCAAGAGCGAAAGGCTGGGCCCATTTGGTGAAATCTGAATTTCTTAGTAGGTCGTTTGTTACTAACGGGAGGCGCGCGTCAGGTTTATGGCGCTGGGGAAGCTGCCGAAACCCGAGCGGGATTTGATTAAAATTCTCCTCGTCAAACAAAGCAACAAATCAAAGATTTCTTCATAATTGATGAGCCGGGACAGAGGGGAGCTGTGTGCGGAGCCGAGCGCACGGCCCAGGCTGTGCTGCATGTTGGGGGGCTGCGGCGGGATG